TCCAATGAAGGCAATTTCCCAATTGAGTCTCCCTCAATCCAGGTGTGTCAAGTTGACATTAAAGCTATGCAGCACAGATGGAGAATGAAGCTGAATCTACAATGGAGACCTCAGGAAGTGAGAGATGCCAGGAATATGAAACACCTGCCTGGGAAGCCATGAGCAGCGAACAGTCAGTCCAAGAGAGTGTTGGTATGCTCCAGCTAGCAGTGCCTTTTGAAGCCCAAATCACCCCACCATGCGCCCCATGGGACATGGAGCTGTAAGATTTAGTGTTCTTTGAGATGGACTTCAGTCTTGCTTTCCTTTGAAAATGGGAATTGGCATTGTATCTTACAAATACACAGATTTCTTTTGATTTTTTTAAACAAGTGTTTACAGAGGAGTTTGCCTTGAGTCTCAGTGGGCTACGACATGGATTTTTGAGTAATGCTTGAATTATTAAAATTTAGGTGATACAGATGGTACAGACGCTATGCGCATTGTGAAATAAACATGAGCCTGTACGGGGCAGGAGCAAAATGTCAGGGTTTGGATTTTAGATGTCCCACAAAGAAACATACACCAAAGACTTGGTCCCAGTCTATGGTAGTATTCGGAGACAGTGCCATGTTAGTAGGTAGAGCCTGGTCTTTGGAGCTAGGTCATTGATGGCATACTCCTGGAAGCATTATTGGGACCCTGGCCTCTTCCTCTTTCTCTTACTTTCCTGGCTGCCATGAAATAAACATAATACTCTTCTCTATCACCAACTCCTGCCATGATGTTCTGCCCTGCCATGGGCTCAAAGGGACATGGCTGAGCAACCATGGGCTGACGCTCCTGAAATCACAAGCCCAAATCTGCAACATTTCCTCTTTAGGTTGATTCATTTCTGGTATTTTGTTATAGTAACGGACAGCATTTAATTGAAAATTGTTTCACTGATACAGGATTCCTAGTTGCTTGACTGAACAATTAGTAATCATATTTACTGGAGCAGAATCTAGATTAACTTGAAAAATTAAAGTAGATATGCTCTGAAAGTGAGTGACTCTCATTTCTAGGCATGTGAATCCTGAGGCTTATTCACTCTTTCCTTCCTCCAGCGGTCATTAGCGGCTCGGCATCTGCCGGCTCCTGCAACGGAGACAAATAACTTATGGTCCCAGCCCTTGAAAGATCTAAAAATATAATTTAGAAATCAATGTGTGCTAAAAACAAAATACAAAATAAATAACAAAATAAAATACTGAATGCTTTGTCAAAAGTCTGGTGATACAGCAGCTGAACCAAGTTGTGGATTTTCTGAATGAATGTTAGAAGAGATACATTTTTAAAAAATATCCATTAGTCTTTTTCCACAGTAATAAAATTCTGAGTCACACAGATGACTTCTCAGAATAAGGACTGTACTCTCCAGCTACTTGCAGCAAGATGTGGCCCTGTTACCAAGTTCTAGCCAGTAGATGTACACTGAACTCTCTTTAATGTCAACCGAGAACCTTTCTCAAGAGAAAGCTGGTCTGCTCTCTTCTGTGATGTCTTCCTCCACGTGAGGAGAACTGAGATGTTATCTTTCACCATCCAATAGAGGACCACACCCAACTGATGGGGAGCAGAGGTAGGAACAGCTGTGGTCTGAGGAGACAGTCCTCATTCCAAACCTGGAATGGTGGTCTAAAATCCTCATACAGGAGGTGCTTCTGGAGGGCTCATTGGACAGATGGGACAAAGAAAGTTAGTCCAGACAGGGAGCAATGTAAGGGAAAGGCTGTCTGTAAAAGGAAGCAGAAGCATCCTAGGGAGAAATGAACTGTCACAGGAGGAAACGGAAACATTTCACTCTGTCAGTATTTTCTTCTTTTAAAATTTACATGGGGGCTGGAGAGATGGTTCAGTGGTTAAGAGCACTGGCTGCTCTTGCAGGACACCTGCATTCGGTTTCCAGCAGTCACATGGCAGCTAACAGCCACCTATAACTAGCTCTCTTCCGACAGCAAGGGTGCACTTACATAACATGCAAGCAGAACACTCATATTTATAAAACACAAATGATAAATATTTTTTTAAAGCAGCTGGGCATGGTGGTGCATGCCTTTAATCCCAGCACTCGGGAGGCAGAGGCAAGCAGATCTCTGTGAGTTCAAGGCCAACCTGGTCTATATAGTGAGTTCCAGACTAGCTGAGGTTGCAGGGAGACCCTGTCTCAAAAAGACCAGAAAGAGGAAAGGAAGCAAACACATGCTGGTGAGGATGCAGGCTGGGAACAGTGAAGGGGAGCACTCATTCACTGCTGCTGGGATGTAAAGTCGTGCAGACACTATAGAAACCAGGGTGGAGGTTCACCACCCACAAGTAAAAATAGAACTTCCATATGAACCAGCCGTACCACTTCTGGGCATACACTCAGAGTCAGCCCAGGATAAAGAACACTGCTCAGCCATGTTCACTGCAGCGCTATTCACAATAGCCAAATTATAGAAACAGCCTTGCTGCTGCTCATCAGTAGGCAAAGGGCTAAAGAAAATGTGGTGCATATAGTTTTACTCAGCCATAAAGAAAGAAATTATGTCCTTTGCAGGAAAACAGATTGAACTAGAGATCATCATGCTGAGTGAAATAAGCCAGTTCCACAGTAAGTGTCTCCTCTTTTCTTTCACTTGTGGAATCTGGGGAGCAAGTCCATGAAAGTAAAATGGGGGTACTAGGGGTGTGGGAGGGGACAGGAAGAGGGAGCAGGGAATTAGAGTAATAGAGGGGCTGGGCATGTTGGGACACACCTTTAATCCCAGCACTCAGGAAGTAGAGGCAGGTGGATCTCTGTGAGTTCAAGGCCAGCCTGGTCTGCATAGTGAATTCTAGGCCACTAGGACTACAGGGAGACCCTGTCTCAACAAAACAAAAACAACAAAACACAACACAACAGAAGAGTAATGAAGGGGCGAATATGATTAAAGCATACTGTATCTATCTATGGAAATGTCACAAAGCAACTGTACAAATATACCAATAAGAAAAAAATTGTTTCAGTCTAGGAATTACCTATCCAGGAATTTTCTTAATCATTTTATGAAAGTTTTAGGAGCTAAGTAATTTTATTTATTTTTTAATTACATGTGTGGGGGGTGGTGTTTGTGTGTATGGGAGGGTGCATGCCGTGGCTCAGATGCAGACCTCAAATGATGACTTGTGAGAGTCAGTTCCCTCCTTCTACCACTTGGGACCAGAGATGGAACTCAAATTGTCAAGTTTGGTGACAAGTGCCATTACCCACTGAGCCATTTTGCAGGCCCATGGAGCTAAGTAAATTGAAAGAGAAGTCATAAAACTTAAGCACAGGACTCTTGCAAACCCAGCTGTCAAAATAGATGGTCTCACAATGCTGAACACATACAATGGTCATTAGTTACTGATGAAGACTGCATACCTGGTGAAATGCATCATTGGTCCATTAAATGCACTGACATAGTCTCCCAGCTTTTGGGCAAGGGCTATGGTATTTGTACCATCCTTCTGTCAGTTGGCTAATTTACCCTGTTATTAAAATAGCTGAGAAAAACAAGCTGTGTATTCCAGCAGTTCCCAGGATAACAAGTCACTGGCTAGAACTGATCAAATTGTAGACCTTACACTGAAATAGTATTGAGGTAAACAAAGAGGGTAGTGAGTGGTTAGGCAGCAAACAGTGGCCAGGAAGAAAATAACTACTTGGGACTGCACTGAGGAAACAATCTGGCTCCTGAACCAGTTAAGTGCAAAACACACCAGCTCCTGAAAATATTTGTTTTTACAAAGCTGTATCTACAGCTTGTTCAAATCTGTCAAGCAAATGCATAGAAATAATGTTTTATACAGAAAGCTAGTGGTACAGTATGAGTGAGACCCTGCGTTCATTCCCAGCTCTGGAAAAAAAAAAAAACTATAAAGTCTAGATGAGTCCTCAACTAGGGTATTGTGAAGGCTGGTTTTAATGTCAACCTGTCACAAATTACAATCCCCTGAGTAGGGAGCATCAATTGAGGAATTGTCTTTTAATTCCCTTAATTCCCCAAATATGGCTGACACCTTCTGGCAGCAACTCAGATCAAAAGGGGTGAGGCAGAGGAAGGAATGGGGTTTGGGATTCTCTGCAAGAAGTTTCCACTCTTCTGGCTGCCTATTCTATGGTTTTCACACCCCAGGGCCCACCCACATAGACTTTCTGACTGAACTCAAGACTCACCTATGGCCAGGAGAAAAGGAGTCTCTCCTTGACCTCAGAAGCCCTACTTCAGTACCAACTGCTTTGGAAAGTAGCAGCTTCTTATGAACCAAGTTTTAATGGAGAGTAAGTTGTTTGGGACTTGAAGTGAAGCCTGGGGCAAGAGAACAGACTTCAGGGTGCAGCACAATCATCTGAGGAACTTATTAAAAATCAGCAGCCTACGTTGCTGCTCTGAGTCAACCGAATCTGGAACAAGGCTGAGACACTCGCACTCTTAATTAGCACACCCCTGCTCCATCCTTCCTCTCAATTTCCAGCCGAGAATCATATGAAACATTGACACAGCCCTTACATGTGAAGCAGAAACATTTACAGCCCAGCCACCCCAGTACCCCAGGCACATTGCCCATCGTAACATCCACACTCAGGCAAGGACTCCTGACCACTGAAAAGTTGAATGAACAGGAATGCAATGACCCTGATTTAGCACCCACTGCCAAGCCCACCCCATCCCAAATCTTTGGATTCAAAGGTGTCCTGTCCACATCCCTCTATTCAATTGCAAACCAAGGGGCTGGAGAGATGGCATAGTGGTTAAGAGCACTGGCTGCTCTTGCAGAGGCCCTGGGTTCAATTCCCAGCATGCACATGGAATTGTAACTCCAGTTCCAGGGGATGCTATGCCCTCTTCTGGCCTCCACAAGCATTGTACTACACATGTGCATTTACATACACACAGGCAAAACATTCATATAAATAAAATAAAAATAATAAATATAACGTTCAAATAAAGGAGACACTTCTGCATTCAAGGTGGATTTTTAAAGCAATTATTTTATTTTCCTGGCCTGACAGCATTGCCTTCAACATACAGGAACCAGCTGACGAAACAGACACGAGGATTTTCCCCCACAGGGAGGACCCTCTTCATTAGCAGAGATGAATTGAAATGTCATATCTGAGGGGAATCCCTGCTCCCACCCCTCCCTAACAACCCCTAAATAAAAATGAACCCGTAAAACCCTCCTGAATTGCTAGACTCATCCCTCCATCTTTTCTCATCAGCAGACACAGTGGATGAAAACCAGAGGGGAACAGTGAGCTATCACTTAGCATTCCAGTGCATGTGAGACTGAAGGGACCACAGCAGGGGGCAAGGATGAGTGGCAGTTGTGGGTATTTTATCTTCCCTGGAAACCTGGCCCCTCCACACAGACACTCTGTCCCTGTGCATGAGAAGGCTAAAGGAAATGCTGGAGGACCCATGGGAGCATGCAGACACGAACCAGAGGCTTCAGAAATTCCTTGTGTGGGATAATAGGAACAGAGATACTTAACCCTGAACTCCAGTTTAATGTTACCAGAACTTCTGGTTAACATAACCACTTTCCTGCACAGCCTGACTCCATCTAAACATCTGTACAATTGCTCACGAACCCCAGTGGAGTGATGCTATTTCATTTGTGTGGGGAAAAGGGGATAGGAGGAGAGGAGGTGTAGATGCAGGTCAGGGGTCACAATGTGTCAACAACAGTGGGTATCTTTTGGTCCCTAGGTATGGTCCACTACAAATCCTGAACGATTCTCTTCCCCCTTTCCCTTGTGGCTTGTGCAAATGCCAAAAATCAAATGTCTACCCAACAAGACAGATAGGAGTTGCTGCCAAGTTACATTCACCTCTAGGGTCAACTTGTCTACCTCCCAACTCTCTGATGAAATTGTACAAAAATTCTCACCAAGGCTGTGAATTATGGCATCCATATTCTGCTACCAGAACCAATCCAACAGCTCTGTCCTGACATGCATCCTTCCCAGGCTGAGGAAGCAGCAAAAAGTAACGATCGAGCTTGTGAAAACAATGAGGACAGTGTATGCGGTGCAATGGTTTTTGTCGTCTTCACCTTCTGTCTCCTCCGAGGTTGGGAGCACTCCCTCTGGTTCCCCAGGGCCCACTCGCACCCCTCCCCTACCCCCAAGTCCAGGTGCTCCCGTCCGCTGGGCTTCGGCCACTCATTTCCCATAGACACTTTCATCACTGTAGGCCACATACAGAAAATAGTCCTCCTCGTGGTTGTCCTAGGAGAGGAGATAAGATCACAGTTCAGACACCGGTCGCACAGATTGTCTCTAGGACTCTGAGCCTTGAACAACCTTGTGAGGTAGGCACGGAAGTGATCATTAGTCCCCATTAGAAAGTGGAACACACTGCTTAGCATCTGTAAGTCCTGGGGTCAAGCTCCAGCACCAGAAAAAAAAAAAAAAAAAAAAAAAAAAGAAGTCCTCAGAGAGAACACAACACACATATACATCAACAACACCATGACGTTAAGTCCATCCTTATTCTTTTTCTTTGGTCTTTTTGGGACAGGGTCTCCCTATAGCCCCAGCTGACCTGGAACTCACTATGTAGACCAAACTGGCCTCGAACTCACAGAGATCAATCTGCCTCTGCCTCCTGAGTGTTGGGATTAAAGGCGTGTACCACCACACCTGGCTGTCCATCCTTACTCCTAAAAAATGATACTTTAATCAGCTTGAGTCAGAGACACTTCTTCTTTGCAGTGTTCAGCAGTGACGACAGAGCCTGATAACAGGGTTCAAGGCCAGAGAGCAGCTGTTGGGCCCCCAGCCATACACGGGACATCCATATTGCTCCCTCCAAAGCTCAAGGAACATTATAGAAGAGGTAGAAAGAATTTACAACCCAGAGGAAGGGCAGTGAGAGGCTCAAAATGGAATGTCTTTTAGGCAGACATAAATGTTGCTCTCAAACTCACAGCACTTTTGATTCTCTGCACAAGATTGGGCTCATCAAGACTCTATTATGGGACAGGAGGGGCTCATGGGGCCTTACCCCTTCCTGAGAATTTATACATAGTTAATGTGGGGGACAGAGAAACATTTTCTTTTTTAAAAAAATATTTTATTTATTTATTTATTTATTTGTATTTTATGTGCATGAGTGTATTGCCTGCATGTAGGTAAGTGCATCCGTGTCCTACAATGCCTGCAGAGGACAGAAGAGGCCATCAGATCCCCTGGAACTGGAATTACAGACAGTTGTTAGCTGCCATGTGGGCACTGGGATTCGAACCCAAGTCTTCTGCAAGATCAACCAGTGTTCTTAACTGCTGAGCCATCTCTCCAGCCCCCAGAGAAACATTTTCTACAATGGTGTAGCCCTACCAAGGTGCCTGTGCTCCTGTAAACAACGCTATTGAAATTTACTGGGTTAAAACAAAAGAGAGAAAAGGACATTGAAAGTACAGGAAGGGGGCTGGCTGAGAAGGAAACTAGCAGGAATGGGGTGACAAGACAGTCCAAGGGGGGATGGAAGTATGAGTAAAATACATTATGCATATGTATGAAACTATCATAATAAAGCCCACTATGTATATAACTAACATGTGCTAATAAAAACATTAAAACCAAAACTGCCAGATGTGATGGTACGTATCTGTAATTCTAGCTCTCAGGTGGCTGAGGCAGAAGTTCTAAGTCTGAGACTAGTCTGGGATAAATAGCAAGTCCAGGCCAGTTTGAGCTGCATGTTAAGACCCTATTTCAAAAGACAAAGTCAAACCAAACAAAAAGAAAAAAAAAAAAAAATCTCTAAACTTGGGCTGAAGAGAGGCCTCAGAGGTTGAGTACTTGCTGTTCATGCAGATAACTACAGTTCAGTTCCTAGCACCCATGTAGGACAGCTCATAAACACCTGTAATTCCAGCTCCATGGCATCCAACACCCTGTTCTTCTAGCCTCCCTGGGCACCTGCATATATGTGCACTTATACATACATAGACATGAATAAAAATCAAACCTTAAAAAATGCCCAAAGCTTACTAGGGATAGATAGATGAACGTAAGTCCAAAAGCAAGCCCAGTGCAGTGGGAGTGGCAGACCCTGGGAGAGGGTCTGTGTATGTTTTCTATAAAATTCAACTTTGGGGCATGTTCAGAAAGCTTTCACAAACAAAGTATTAGGATACAAGGTCTCATTTTGAAAAACAAAATCATTCTATGGCTGGGGGGATTTTGTTTGTAAACTACTTGCATTGTAGGTCAAGGACCCAAGTTCTAGTCACAGAACCCACATAAAAGTGCTAAGCCTGGTAATGCACACTTGGAATCCAAGCACTGTGGAAGTGCAGATAGGAGGATCCTTGAAGCTCACTGCCCAGTCGGTCTGGCCTAACTGGGGAGCACAAAGTCAATGAGACCTTGTCTCAAGGGAGGTGGACACTGCTCTGTAGGCTGATACCAGAGGCTGTTGTCCAGGTTCCACAGGTCTGCACACCTTTACGTGTGCACCCACATGCATAAAAAAGAAAAATAAGCCTCATTCCAGCAATGCATAGACATCACAAGACAGTATAAATATCACAAGACACTTGCACTGATTACATACTCACAGGAAAGTATGCTGTGGAATAAAGGCTGCATCAGGGGATATTAGAAATTTATGTAATTAACTAATGGGGCAGTATAAGAAGGCCGCATCTTGTGACATTGTTTAAGGACTAAGAATAGTTCCAATCTAAGGTTATACCACTTGTAGTGGGATAAAGTCCTTTATTACAGTTTTTCTCAAGTTCGAGTCTCATAATTTACCAATTAAACCCAGTCAGGTGAAATCCCGAGTATAGCTGTTTAAAAAATGAATCAATTTAAAGATTCTACCTTACTTTTCAATTTTGTCAGTTAATAGGAAATATTCAGGGTTTTAGAGTTGTTTTAGAAGGAGTGCTTCTGCATGTGGTTGTCACAAGGCAAATCTTGAGAATTTATGTGGGAACTAACTGTGAAGACTGAGCTCCAGGTTCAGACTGAGAAGAGTCCAGCATCACTGTGGTTTGCTTTCTCAGTCTGCTACTAGGTGGGATGACATCATAAGCAGGCAGTGGAGTCCACAGCTCACTCACAATGATGGTGCCAAAAATACAGTAACAGGAAAGATAGGTAAATTCCTGGTGATGTTTTGCTATCAAGACTATTCCTGGGGGCTGGAGAGATGGCTTAGTGGTTAAAAGCACTGGCTGCTCTTGCAGGGGACCCAGGTTCAGTTCCCAGCACCACATGACAGCTAACAACTGTCCTTAACTCCAGTTCCAGGGGATCTCATGCCCTGTTCTAACGTCCATGGGCATTGCACGACATGGCTGCACTTACATACATTCAGGCAATACACTCATATACACATATAGTAATAAAATACTAATAAAGTGTTTTTAAAAGACCATTCCAAATGCTTCAGTAAAGACAACCCAGCAATAAAAATAGCCAGGCAAAACAGAGATTTCAAAGGATTAAATCTAGTAGAGTGTTCAATCCCTAAAGGACAAGTGGTGTCTAATCTCCCAGGACTTCACAGGCTGTGTGTAAGAGGATGCCTGTAAATAACACCCCGTGCCCTACTTCCCAGGTATGTTATCAACAAATGCTGGAAAAAGAGCTAGGGGATGCCAGGCTGCTCGGCATTGTTACCAAAACCATTACCTCATACAGCTGGCCCATGGTAGCACTGGTGGGAGGGATAGTGTTGTTGACAAAGAAGAATAAGGCGTCCTCCGGTCTCAGGTGAACCCTCTTCCGGATTAAGAAGTAGAACTGGCCAACTGCAAGAGGGAAGAGGGGGGAGGAGCACAAGAAGGGAAAACAAAGGATTACTGGAAGGGGACGGATCACAAAAAACAAAAAAAACACCACCTCTATTGTAGCTGTCCCCTTTAGGTTAAGTACGAGCTTTACAGACTATTGGTGAATCAAATGCTTCCTGAGAACCTTAGTAATAAAAAGGAAAACTAAGAAGCCTGTAGAGTCCCTCCGACACACCACAGTGCATAGGCTTCCGTTCCTCCTTATTCAATTGCAAACCTAATGTTGGCACCTCCACCCAGCCTAAGCAGGGACTGCTCTCAGGAGTAGGCTGTATATCCAGACAAAAAAAATCCAGTCATTAACTAAAACTGACCCCCAGGCCCAATGACCTTCCAGCCCCATTCCCACCTCAGGTGCATACAATGGAGAGAGATCCACTGGACTCTGGTCATCCCAGCACAGGGACTCAACTCACTGTCGGGGCAATGAGTCCATTCAATACTTAACCTTCTCCTGAGAATACTGAAAAGCTTCTAGGAAGCTGATGGTCAAATGAATGAACTCTCCAGTAAAACTATCTAAAACGATCTCTTCAAGTGTTTTCTGAATGCACCTGGCATTCTATTAAGGAACAAGGTAGAGTCTAGAGATATACTTGTAATTCAAAACAGAATCTCTAAAATGATGGAAAGAAAAGAATGAACCACACCTTTGGGAGACAAGGTAAATGGCTATGACTCTCTAAAATGTGACCTCTCTTAAGACATTGGAACAAATGGGCAGAAAGCTAACCTGGATGACTTGTAAAGTGGTGTAAATAATGGAGGGTATTTTGCTTTGCTGTATCTCAGGGTATTTTGCTTTGCTGTATCTCAGTAAGACACGGGGATGGGAAACACTAAAGGGAACTACACACGAGAACTGGTGTGCCTCTTGGAATTAGCTGGCTCCCTAGAGAAGCCTGTTCTCTCTTACCACCTTGTTCCTGAAATAAATATCAAGCATGCTTTTTGTGGAATGAAGGGCCAGAAGAGGTGAAGGCCATTACCAGTGAGGTCAGAGGGCACCAGGTACTTCCTCTTGTCCAGATCAGGCACCCTGGCCTTAGGAGCCTTCTCCACGATGACCTGGATGGGACAGGAGGGTGTCGGTGAACACTGCAGACCCCAGCAGCCTTTTTCCTCCCACACCCTACATTTGCCCTGTTGGAAGGCATACTGTCTAGGCTCGGTGTAACTTTTCAGTCTTTTCCTTACCCACCCCTTGACTATAAGTAACTACAAGTTCCTTCAAAGTACAGTAAAAATTAAATACCTTCTGGTATGTATTAAGGGACCAAGACTTTCTGGGTTTTTCAGAAAGTCTAATGACTTTCTTTAAATGACCAATTATGGAGTAGGGGGATGGCTCAGTAGGTAAGGAGCTTGCTGAGCAAGCATGAGGACTGAGTTCAGGTGTTTAGTAGCCCACCAGTGAGCCCAGTGTTGGGAAGGTGGAGACAGGGGTCTTTGCAGTAAGCTGGCTGGGTAGACATCTCCACACATGTGCGCTGGCCCCCTCCCGCCTCCAACATACACATACACATGGGGAACAAATGCCATATATTAAGGACACAAAGTCACAGTTTGGATCTTTACTGTCCTCCAAAGGCCTGTATGTTAAAGGCGTGGTCCCTAGCTGGGGCTACTGAGAATTGGTACAGTTTAAGAGGTGGGGACTCAGGGGAATTTTAGATAATTGGTGTGTCCTCAAAGGAGACTGCACTTTCACTTTCTCATGAGGGGATCTCCTCCATCATGAGCTTCCATTATAACAGGCTTATTCACCACAGGTCCAAACCAATGGGGTCAACTGACCATGGACTAAAATATCTGAAACCATGAGCCAAAATCTTTTCCTTTATAGAGGTTGACTATCTCAAATATTTGTTTTGTAACAGAACATTAACACGCTGAAGTAATGTGGTTCAAATTTCAATCTCTGACTGCAAAAAAATATTCACTGTAAAGTTTTTTATTATGAATGGCATTTTATGAAGGCAATATAGTGACTCATTTAACAACAATATTGACTACTTTAGGATTTTTATAGGAGTTTTTTTTTTTTTTTTTTTTTTTTTTTTTTTTTTTGGTCTTTTGAGACAGGGTCTCCCTGTAGCCTCAGCTGTCCTGGAACTCACTATGTAGACCAGGCTGGCCTTGAACTCACAGAGATACGCCTGCCTCTGCCTCCCAAGTGCTGGGATTAAAGGCGTGCACCACCACACCTGGCTAGAAGTTTCTTTTTTTATTAAATTACTTCTATTTTTTTCATATGGGTATTTAGCCTGCATGTATGTACATGCACCTGCATCTTTGCATGTAATGCCTGAGGGCCAAAAGAGGGTGTCATAACCCCTGAAACTGGAATTACAGACAACTGTGAGCCTTCATGTGAGTGACAGGAACTGAACCCAGGTCCTCTGTAAGAGCAGCCAATACTTTTAACCACTGAGCCATCTCTCCAGCCCGAATTTTAAGGAATTTTCAATATCTCCATTAAATGTTTCTATAATACTTCAAGTTTTATAAAGATCATGTATTTCTGTAACAAAGAGAAACACATAATATCTTAGATTTTTATATAGTTAAACTTTCTTAGATTTTTATATATTTAAACTTGGAAAATATCTTGTATGTAAAAGCATTAACATTAGATTATTTGTTTAAAAAAATCATCCTAGATATAAGATATGGCAAGTATCAAAAATCAAAAAAGCAGACACAACTCTGGACAAGCAACCCTAGGCTCAGTGCGACCTCCCTCAACATCATGGCCTTCCGCAGGCCACTAACCATCTCCTCAGCCTCTGCACTCCAATGAGTAAAAGAAAGATACTTTTGAAACACATCTTGTGTAAACTCATGGTACTGATGTGGGCATAAGTAATCCCCTTTATGTGAAAACATTTTGTTAATCATAAACAGCACTGTAAAAATGAACATTAATTTGAAGAGGCTGGACGCTTTTAAAGGGAACAGGTAAAGGCTCTCAAAACTTCTACTCTGTGTTGATGGAAGAAAGACTCCAACTAACTCCAGGAAAATCACATTTGAGACATGGGACAGCATGACACTTCAAATTTAAAAATGGACCTTAGTGGTAGAGTAGATTCTTAGCATGCACAAGGCTCTAGATTCAAGCCACAACACCAAAAACCATATACAAATAAGTACAGATAAAAAATAAGTAGACAGGCTGGAGAGATGGCTCAGGGGTTAAGAGTACGTCTGTTCTTGCAGAGGACCCAGGTTTGGTTCCCAGCACCCACATGGCAGCTAACAACAGTCTATAACTCGAGTTTCAGGGGCTCCAATGCCCTCTTCTGGCCTCCAAGGGCATAACACACATGGGTACACTTACATATGTGCAGGTGAAACATTCATATACACCAAACAAAAGTAAAAAATACATTTGTTTAATGTGACTAATGCCATTAAAAAAAAAAAAAAAACTTGGGTAGCTCAGTGGTAGAGCACTTGCCTAGCATGGAAGAGGTCCTAAGTTAAATTCTTAACAGCACCAAAAGCAAACAAACAAATAAAACCATACTAGGAGAAGCAACATTCTCACAAATTGAGTCAGGTGTGGTGGTGCATACCATGATTCCCAGAACTCCGGAACTTGAGTCAGAGGGAGGTGAGGTGACCTCTGTGAGATCAAAGCCAGCCTGGTCTACACAGTGAGTTCCAGGCTCTCAGAAACAAAACAAAACAAAACAACAACAACAAAAAACTCTTGGGTAGATAAACATGAACCCAACATTTAAAAGAATGCGAAGAAAGAAGAAAGTCCAGCACAGAACACCAATGGGATAAGGAAAGGGGCAGGGGTGGGGGGTAGGAGTTAATATACCCCACAACAACTAAGCAACTAAGGCTGACAGCTGGGTGGAAGAAGGCAGAATGGAATAGTCAGTCCTTCTTCCTTGGGTCTCTGTTTTCCCCATCTGTGAAAAGTGGCTTGCATACTAAGGGCTGCTTGCAAATGTTTAAAAATAGACAACAGTTCCTGCTGTTACAGGTTCCCGATACCCTATAACTTCAAGATCCCATGATCCCATACTCTCCCCAGGCACAGGTACACCTACTGTTGAGGCTACGCTCATGTTGTGTGAGCAATCCCATGTAGAAACTGTTTACTCCAACCACCACCTTTTTTGTGAACATGTCATCTTAACATAGTAAGATTAAGGACTGGACCTAAAGGCACAGGGATTCTCTGTTAAAACATTAATTTAAAACAACATCTCTGAAGCTAAGGGTGTAAGTCAGTGATGGAGAGCCTGCTTTGCAAAGGGCTCAACTGGCACACACCACCCAAAGTCTCTGCCACTGAGCAGAGTCTTCTTTCTCAGAATGAGGGCCATAGTTTGGGAATCTCCAAAGTTGGGAGGTGCCACCACTGGGGAGGTGCCACCTCTAGTGACAACTAGAGGGACCATGAAACAACAGTGAAGCAGTGAAGGTTTTAAGGGCTTATGAATAAATGATCACTGAAGTAAAACATTTCACATCAAATCATGATCAGGAGAGGACTGGGACTAGATGAATAGTCTGGCTGAATACAATAAATGACCAAAAGGAGATTTCCGTTTTGAGGAAATAATGGGAACTTTTTGGAAAAAGGCACATGCAAGAGCTCATATGTATACAGACCTTCTCTCTGGAAGAGTTCTCAGTAACAGGTAGACAGACACTGGCTTATGTTTCCTCACTGGTTCTTACTATCCAGTGAACTACGGATGCTCCCAACAGTTTACTTCCAAGCAAGACTCAGTAGTGTACAGCATACTGCATTCAACACTTAATTCTAGTTAGTAGAACTATACTACAGATTGATTTTTTTAAAAGACACAGGAAGTCAAGGGCTCTGGAAGCTCTAAGCATGACACCTAGGGCTCGAATTCTGGCTCCTTCCCAGCAAGGTCAAACCTTCAGGAAGTGACTTCATTTCCCTGTGCCTCACACTGTCCATCTGGAGCACAAGGATTTTAATGGTGTGAGGATTCTGTGATTATATACACCAGGCATTCAAAATACTACCATTATGTGGTATGCCATTTAAAAATATTTTTAAAAGGGTTGGCATTACCAGAATTGGGAGAAATTTTTCAAGCAATCCAGGAAGGTACAGAGCTCAAGAAAACATTTTGTGAAGGATCACTTACTAGGTCTGCATTTGACTCAAGCACTCCCTTTCTTTTATATGTGAAATAAGACCTTTGTGTAATTTCTGCAGAATCCTAATGTCTTCTCTACCTTATAGGAAAAAAGGGTGCTGTTCTAAGGCCCACTTACTTCTGGTAGCCATAAGTTAGGTAAGGACTGAGGAAGAATCTCAAAGGTCAAGAAGAAGTACCAGGTAACTCCAACTTTTTACCCTTTAAAAATAACATGTAATGCTCACTAGTCTAACACCCCTGCCTGATGACAAATAAATCCCTGCTCCTCTATCTACTAAATCTAACAGCTATGTCGCCTGTCGCAGTCTGCTGTCTGATTCCAATGCTGAGCAGCCCACAGAAGAGCTCAGAGGAAAAAAAAAAAAAAGGCATGTGGGCAGGGGAGGGGGGTAAAAACACCCGGATGCTTCAAGATTCCCTTATTATTTCTTCTTTCCTTGGCACTGCATGCACTAGATTTTAACTACTTAAACACCGGCACAATTGTGAGAGAAAAAGGCCCTGAGTCTTGGCTCTCCGGGTCCCCATCAGCAGTGCAGGGCAAGGCCCTCCTTTCCCCAGGTGGCCCTAGAACCCAGAATGATGAGGCAAGCAGGCTGTGGCGCAGAGAATGTGACCTTGTTTGCTGTGCCAGTCTGGTGGCGATCCGCTCCCCCGCCTCCTCCTGATTCTAAGAAAACGCAAGACAGAATCCACTGGCTTCTGAGCCTTTTGCTCCCACGCTCAAAGAAATGAGGGCTAAAATCAGATTCATGGAGAGGATCTAAAACAAGCATGGACGGGCTCAGAGCCCACCGCACAAGCTGCTGGCAATTGTATTGCGTTAATAAAGGCATCCAATTTGGGGTCCTCATCCAGTCAACCTGGCACCAGCCAGCCCGATTCCGCGCACATCTCCACCTCCACCTCCACTTCTGCCTCCACGAGTGCAGAATCCTGCTGAGTCACCCACACGCAGGTTGCGCCCCAGAGATGCCAAAGGTGGGCACCGGCCCTAGCGACACGGAGTTGCGAAGACACGCAGCCTGAACGTCCACGGAAGCTTGCGATCGCGAAGGGTGCTCAGGGTTACAGGATTTCAGAGACCTTCTAGCTCAGGAGACACTCCTCCACTCAAGGCCACCTTCCCCCCAAGACCATCATCCTGCTCCCAGGGCCACCCTCCTACCCCCAGGGCCACCTTCCTGAAGCCCAAGGCCATCTTCCTGTGCCCAGGGCCACCTTCCTGCACCCAGAGTCAACCTCCCCCCGAACTCCCAGGGCCACTCTCCCCTCCCAGGGCCACCCCCCCCAACTCCCAGGACCACCCTCTCCCTCTTCTCTTCCCAAGGCCACCCTCCGCCCTCCCTTCCAGGTTCACCTCCCCGGCTCTCCTCCCTCATCCCCATGCCAGCTCACCGGCACCCTGTCCGGGTATTTCTTCCTGATCTTTTCTCCTTCTTTTTTCCGGTATTCGAAGGGATGATCCTCCTTATATTGGAACTTCATGATGGACCGCAGGGTTTCCGAGCTCCCCGGACGGGGCCTGCTCGCGCTGGTGACTGGCGTGTGGCCCCCCCGGTCAATGTCAGCTTTATCTCAATCTCTGCGCCAGCGTTAGCCCTGACGCTCGGGTCCTGGCACTGCGTGGCCGAGGGTCCACAGGGGGATCCGAGGTCTCTCGGCCCGAAGGTGGGGGACAATCAGGTAAAGAAATCCGAACGGCTTTTCCCTGGAGCTGGGAACACAAAAACACCAGGACGGCCCGAGCTGCTGTGATGTCACGACGCCCCGCCCCCGGCGCGCAGATCTCCGGGGGATGGGGGAGGACAGAATCGTCCTTTAGCTGTGCGCATCTTCTTTCCACCTAAACCTTTCCTAAATCATTCCATCGAAAGCATACAGAGATTTAGTTGTTATTTAATGGTGACTATGATATTAAATGCATTTTTTTCAAAAACCAAAGGATGTTCTAGAAAATGTCTTTTCCCTCTCCTTCTCGTTTCTTGGTTGGTGCCCAAAACAAATACACTGGACGAAAATCCAGCTCTTTCCAGCTGGTTAGGAACCCGAGTCCAGGGGAGGGAGAGCGCCCAGAGTCACGGGATCTGTGGCCCAGACTGAAACGTCCTGTGCCTGCAGTTTTGACCTTTGCCTGGCACCAGCGCCCGGCCTGGCTTCGCCAACCCCACTCTTCCTCCTCCCCTCGGCGTCGTTTTGTTTGGATCTGAACTGGAACTGGGTCTTAGAACAACAACAGAGCGTGACTAAGGGATTTGAAGCGGTGTGTAAACTGAAGGGCATGTCATCCTGGAGGTTCAGAGAAGTGAAGTCATCGCTGAACCGAGGGCTTCATGAACCTGCAAAAAAAGGACGATTCACTTTCTCCTGTTCACAGCTCAGAAGTCTGGGCCTGGTTCCTGAAAACGAAAATGTCAAGCAAGTTAGGTCACTAAGTCACTAAGTCTGTGGTTCGCAAACCTTTCTTTTCTGTTAAAAAAAAAATCACCTTCGGGGGTAGTTGTCCTGGTGAAATGACCTCATAGGAACGGAACGCCCGTGTTGGTACTCGCAGGTGGAAGCAGGGCCAGAGCCAGGCTTCTCTAACCTGACTGCCCGCGAGTACCCCAGGATGAGGCCCTCCCTGACACCAAAGGAGTCTGGGCGGGGGTGCAGCAGGACAGCTATGATAAGAGGGGAGAGGCTGTTTTGCACTGTGCAAAACGGGGTGACTTCTGAACAGTGACCCTTCGAGCAGCAGCTCCTGTCACCTGCCTTTCCTCTGAATCTCAGTGTCTCTGCCTAGAAAAATAAACCCACAGAATGAAATGAACTAAGGTTCATTGTTAAAACAAGAAAAGGAAATGAAAGCCGGGCATGAAGGTGCAGGTCTTTAACCCCAGCTCTCAGGAGGCAGAGGCAGGCCGATCATCACGAGTTTGAGGCTAGCCTGGTCTACATAGCAAGTTCCAGCCAGTTCTGTGTAGTGAGACCCTGTCTCAAAAACAAAGCCTATGAAATGCATAACCCCACTTACTTGTTTTCCTCCTTGATTCTTTCAGTTCTTATATATAAAAATCCTTGAGTTAATGTATCATATGTTTCTATTAATGTTCAGGCTTTATTTTTCAAATAGAAAGATGGTTTAATTCCTAGTTAATTATTTTATATTTGGTACAAATATAGCTAGATCTTTCAAAAAAGACCTTTATAGCCAGTTGAGATGGAGAACTACGGTGGCAGTAACCCCCGTTTTGGTAATGGGTGTTGTAATTTCCTTGCTGTTGCTGTGACCCTGTAACTCTGTCCAAAAGCAACTTAAGGTTGATTTCCTCTCACACTTCCAGGTCACAGTCCATCATGACAGAAGTCAAGGTAGAAACTTGAAATGGGAACTGTGGAGGAATGCTGCTTGCTGACCCAGTGGCTGTCTCCTGGCTAACTTGCTTTCTTATTAAGCCCAGACTACCTGACTAGGGATGGTACTGCCTACAGTGGGTGGTACTCCCTCCTGTATCCCTTTATAATCAAGACAGTCCCCCACTGACATGCCAATAAGCCAGTCTGATCTAGGCAATTCTACATGGAATTATCCTGTCAGAGTTGACAGTTAAAGCCTACTGAGACAAATGGTGATAGTGAACAAACCTCAGGTTTTTATAGCTATATAATTTTAGTTAAATGTCACTTTTTCAAAAAGCTCAGTGACTGTATACAGTATATGAAAAATAAGTTAAACATAAAATGTTGGTTACTGTACTGAGGATTTTCTAATTGCCATTTTTATTCTAATGTAATAAAAATTACATTTTATTCTAAATGTAATTTACATTAGAATAAAAAATGTATCAATTTCCAAAGCTTTACTTATTATCTTTATTCTCAGCAAGGTCTTTAAAATATTATACTGGGGCTGAATAGATGACTCAGCAGTTAAAAGCACAGACTGTTCTTTCAGAGAACCTAGGTTCAGTTCCCAGCATCAGCACAGCAGCTAACAATCATCTGTATCTCCAGTTCCAAGGGATCTGATGCCCTCTTTTGGCATCCCTGGGCATTATAAGACATGGGTGTACGTACAGATAAAACATTCAAACACATTTTAAAAATAAAAATTAAAAAATAAATAGAATATTACAGAACAGAATATTATACAGAAGTTACTTTTATAAATTAGCATTCAGTCAGTTAAAAAAGCTCAAAATTCCTTTCTCAACCAGACAAAATACTATAGTAAAAAGCTCATATTTTCTGATATCCATTTCAATTTTTTCTTGTAATCTTCTAGTTTTTTATGTTTAAATATTTTACAACTTTGAAACTTCTTCCAGTCTTTTAAGAGAATTTTCAACCATGTAAAGAATTTCAGGTGAGCATGAGAAACACCAACATGTCCATCACTTTAACTTCTTTTTCCATTTGAAAGTAAATTACACTTCACTCCAAAATACTCCTCTGAATGTGAACATGTTCTCCTTCATCACCACTCTGCTGTTGCATCTTAAAACTTACCAACACTTGCCCAGTTAGGTAACACTGCATGAAATTCATACCCACATTTTCCTCATTGCTTCTAAAATGTTTTCTATAATTTTCCCCAGGCAAGCCCTAAAGTCTGAAAACAGCTGGAACTGTGTGATGTTTGATTCCTTCTATTTGGGATATTTTCTACTATCCTGTATAAGTCAGTGCATAAAAACAGGATTTTAAAGAGTATTCGATCACCAGGGAAAGCTGTAATAGCTGGATGTTAGTTACTGGCAACTATCAAATTCACTGCTAAGCTTGGGCTTTAAGAAAGATTTTCATTTTTGAAATTTTTTTTTTTTGTCTTTTTGTCTTTTCCTGTAGCCCCAGCTGTCCTGGAACTCACTATGTAGACCAGGCTGGCCTCAAACTCACAGAGATCCGCCTGCCTCTGCCTCCTGAGTGCTGGGACTAAAGGCATATACTACCATGCCAGGCTCATTTTTGAATTTTTAAATAAGCCGTTCCCTGCAAAATAAGTGCCAAAGACTATCAAGGTGAGACTGGTTGACTCTGGTTGACTCCCATCCTAGGAAAAGTTCTTGCCCCTAATCTCTCTTTCCTAGGCATAATGAATTGAACAGTTCACCCCTCCCCAAAGTGATCAGGACCAAGATGCAGTAAAGGGCAACTGGCTATGAACAAACCTCTAGAAGCCAAAATAAACTTTTTCTCCTTATAAAATTATTTTCTCAGGTATTTTGTTACAGTGATGGAAAGCTGTCTAACACAGTTTCTTGATTTTTTGGTTGTGAGCCTGAGCCTTTAACGGCTGTGCCAGCTCTCCAACCCATAACACAGTTTCTTGATGACACTTCATTTTGTTACACAATATATTCCCAGAGTTCTTTTCAGATTCTAAAGGACTCTGCATTCCCTCTGTGTGGGGGAAATGTTAAACTCTGTATAGGGGCAAATGGTAAAGAATCCATGGCCTGCTTTAAAGTCACCATTATTATTCACACCCACTCAATTTTGTCTTCATCAAGAGGGAGGGAGGGAGGGAGAAGGGACAAGAGAGGGAAAGAGAAACTAATGCCAACATAAATGTATTCAAGCCATATTTTCAGTGTGTAATTTCCCTTCATATTATTCAGTGGTCAGTCACTCTGTAGTTCAAATTCCTTAGAAAAAGGAATAGAATACTTAAAATGTGACTTCTGTCTATATCTCTACTTTCCATAGATCTGTTTCTGATTTTACAGTCTATGCTCCAAGTATACTGCCATAGTTTAGTTGTAAAATATCTGCCATAGGCTCGTGGATGTGAACACTTAGTTTTAGGTGTTGATGCTGTCTTGAGAGGTTGTGGACCCTCCTAAATTTAGGAGGTGGGGCCTAGGGAAAGGATGAGAGGTCTCCCTGGGGCCTCTTTTACATAAGGTGATTAATCTCCATTACAAGGGCTTTGCCCTCTTGACATGATCATCTCCCAAAGGCCCGCCTCTCAATACCATCCTCTTGGTGAATAAGGGAGTCAACATGAATCTGGAGAGACACCACATAGTCAGACCATAGCATAGGAAACCAGAAGGGAGCATCCATTATTGCTTTAGCCTCATGTAGCCACCAGAAAAGGGAGGTAAAAATGACACATAGAAAGATAAGGGACAGACAAGGATGGAGAGAGAGAGAGAGAGAGAGAGAGAGAGAGAGAGAGAGAGAATCCTAATGGTATTTGCATCCCTAGTTTTAGATAGCACCCCTGTAGATACTATTTGAAGACTGTCCTTTATAGGCCTAGCTAATTCCAGGTCATAGCAAAAGCCTCAAGATCACACCTGCTAAGCAAACTGCCCAAATCAGCACTTAACTCTTCTATCTGGTCTGAGTACTCCAGGGGACAGCACTCCTCTGCCTTAACTACCCCAGAGCACCCAGAGACCACCCCTCTAGTTAGAGCATGTTGGAAGTGTCAAGCTAGCCAGTCCTAGCCTGTTGGCCTGGTCCTGCCTTTTGTCTTTCCCTTGGAAATTTCAGTAAAGACTGTGGTCTAAATCTTCCCCTTGCTCAGGTCCTTTTTATGTGACTTCCTGCACCCCATGGTATGCCTGCCTCTGCTCTCTAGGATTTGTAACTATAATAAGCTTTGTTATGGTAGATAATGCTTTAAAAGTTTTTGCACACTTGTAGAATTTCAAATCAACTTCTTAGTGTCCTGTTTGTAAATATGACCAGACATCAAGGAGTCAAAGAAAGCTAAGGATTTGGAGAAAAGATCAACAATGAAACAGTGAGTACAAAACAACTTG